GTCGCGGACTATTGCTGGGTTCGTTTCAGATTTCTATTGGTTCAGGGCTTGAATACATATGTGGTGCTAAATTTTGTGGCTTGTTCAGAAGACGTCATCGTCTGATCAGACACGGGAGCAATTTGGTAACGTCGCGCAGACGTTGCTGAATGGGATCTCACATCGCTTCATAAAAATCGTCGTAAAGCATTTGATTGCCGTCATGGGTTCTTTGACTGGTTCGCGGCATTCACATCCCCCGTCGACCCTTGCTTGGGAAAGGCTACGTACTAACGCCATGGAATTTTAGAACAAGATTTACCATTCCTCATGCGTGTCATCGTGCAGGGTCTGCTTGACGGTTCCCCACAGGATCTGGCAGCCGAGGCGCATACCCTGAATGAAGCAGCGAAGGCGAAGTTCACGACTGTCCCGCCTGACGCGTTTGGCCTTAGCGAGCCTTGCCCGGCGTGCCGTTCACCGATTCCCCTTGAAAACCTGCTCACTGCAATATGTCCAATGGGGCATGTGTGGTGTGAGTATTCTTTTTTGTTTTGTTTTACATGCTTGTGCAGATGCATACTAGAGCTCTTTGCTAAAACGTAATGTGTCCTAGCTCGCTGCTCCATCACGTCGTTCGTGCTCTCAACCCCGATGGTGCGCACATGCATCAGCTGCACGCGCAAGGCCTTCCTCGCTCCGTCATCTCGGGCGCGAGTCCAAGACGACGACGGCGTTCCAAACACCTCCGCCGCAGGAGACGCTGCAGGCCCGTCAAAGGCGACTATTCCGAGTGTGGTTTGGATTCCTGAGGCGGGCCGCAGCTGGGTCGTTGATGAGCTTCTAGAGGCCGCGCGCAGCTGTTTGTACTGTGGGAACCGATTTGTGCGGATATTGTGACGCTCAACGGTCATCAGCCACATAGTCTGTCTATCAGCTCGTCCCTCGAACAGAAGGAAAATAGTCGACCACGGGAAGCCCGAGGGGATCACAAATTGATCGGAAGCACTTCTTGCCCCCCTCGTGTTCAAAAGTATCTTATCGAACGGGAGACACCACAAAGTCCAATTGCAGCGTCCTTTCTTGCGTGATATCTTGCGTCGCCTCTCAAGGTTTCACGGTAAGATTCGGAGCCCAAGTTTGATCCGGGTAAAGTCTCGATGTGGGGAAAGCGCCCATCAGCGGCATCACAGATCACGCCATACATCAGGGACCATGATTGCGCATGTGGGTCCGCTGCACACTTTTTACGCGAAGTACGACTTTGCTTGATAATATTCTTAATAAATCTGGTAATCAAGATTGTAAAGGCTCGATAGCTGGCAAAAAACCATTCTCCCGGAATTTTACATTTCTCACTGCGCATTTTAGCAGCCACCGTCCAAACAAATATAGTAGGATCCTAAGAATGAACGAACCAGGTCAAAAATTCTGATAGAGTCGGGACCGATGATCCGGCTTACTTCGGCCGCATGCACCTAAAGAAATTTGTATCGAGTCTGTAGTCTGGCTCGAGACCCCCTCCCCCACCACCAAAACAAGACGACCAGACGACCAGACGACCAGACATAATGTGCAGAGCAACGATGTAAGACCTTGATACCCAGAATGAATACATGAAATTTATCGACAGGATATGTTTTTACTCAGAATTTCCATCACCCTCATACCACAAAACCTCTTTCCCCGCGCGACCCAATGCTGACTCCGTAGCCGTTCTCCTGAATAGGGCCACTGCCATAATCAAGCACCTGCGACAATTGCCTGCAGCTTCCCAAAGTCAGGGGTTCCGAGACCAGTGACCTAAACGATAAAGATCCATGTATAAGCTCCCAGTCTCATCCGGCCTCAAAAGGAGATCGAATAAAGAAAGAAAGAAAGAAAGAAAAGAAGACAGAGGAACACGTACGGGATCCCACCCCTTCCCTGCTGCAAAACCGTCAGTGTTGCAGCCGGGATTCGACCCGCTGGTGATGTCGTTGAGGCCGGCCACGCCAGTCGTGTAGAGCATCGGGTTCAGGAAGCCGAGCGGCGCCTTGCCCGACGCGATGCGGAAGTCGTTAAGCAGGCTGACGACGCCCGCGAATGTCTGTAGATTTGTGAGATGCGGTGGACGAAAGGTGGACTTGTGCAGCTACGGCGAATTAAAAATTAGGACGCACGGGAGAGCTGGCGCTCGTACCGCCGACGGACACGGTGTCCCCGCCGAGGACTACCTGAAACTAAGGGTCCAGACTGAATGAGCCACACGCTTCACTTTTCTCAAACAAGTCGGAGAACATACACCCTCGCCCTGTGCCGAAACATCTGGGTAGGCCCGCCCGCTCGCACTAAGAATACCCAAGAAGAAAAAATAGTATCAGCGATCTCTTGCTATTTATGGCGAATGTATGGCCGTTGATATGAGACCAAAACGAACGCGCGTACTTGAACATGCCCTGGAACTGCGTGCCAAGCCCGGTGAGGAACGTCGAGACGGCAGACGCCTGATAACTCGGCTGTGCGAAGTAGTTCGAGAACCCACCGGCAGAAAAGCTGGCGGCGACTTCGGGTTTCACCTGCGTCGTAGCTCCGACGGTGGTCACGAATGGGCCTAACAATATAGGATGCGCACTTAAACATCAGATCACCGGTGCGATAGTGCATGTGCATGTAGAAAAAAAGGGGGTAGGGGAACGTACAGGACGCAGGGAAGTTAGGCTGGAAACGCACGGTATCCGTGCCGTCATTCGTATCGCAGTCACCCCCGCCCACGCCGTCGTCACCGCTGCTGAACATGATGCTGCTTCCCCGTGCGCCGAGCTGCGCGAGCATATTGCACACGGACCTATGCGACCATGAGATGTAAATACTATCCGAGTCAACAACTTCCCGGAGGGCGATGCTCACGTAGCGAAGTCAACTGGCACCGTCTGCTCGTCGTCGCCGTATGACGTCGTGAATGTCTGCGGGATGGTCGTCTGGTTGAGGATAAAGTTGAGCCAATCGAGATAAGGTTCATTCGTGTCTGTCGGAGTGAAGTCGTCGGGCTTGAAGGGAGGCGAGCCACCCGTGCTGAAAGTACGAGAATAAGATATTATCATATTATTTCAGCGGATTTAGCATTTAAGAGCAGACCGGGGTATGCGAACCTATAGTAGATGTTCGGTGTGGGGAAGGTCATACCCTCTGCATACTGAATATCTAAATTCGCTTCGATACCCGGGTCACTCTGGTTGTTCCCCCCGTCATTGACTTGCACATGCGTGAATGTTGTTCCAACCGCGTCAGTCCTAAATTTCTTGAAGAACGTCTAAAAAATGAAATAGGTAAGTCTCAGTCAGCACTCATCACGCGACGGATAATTAAATTGATAATAACCTGAAGATCGGCGTCATTAGCAAATTCCTCGAGATACCCGGAGATGCCGATCTTGTTCGTGTCGGTCGCCTGCGGCGTGTACGTCGACGTGTTGTAAAGGGCGCGCAGACAAGCGGGGGTGATCGTCGACGAGCAACTCGAAGGCACTGTCGCAAAGTGCCCTACGGCAAGGCTTTGTCGCTGCGCGGCGGCCTCGTCGTCGCTGATGGCCTTGACCTGCGGCTGCAGGAAGCTCGTAGTCTTCATGCGGCGCATGCCCCCGAAGTGCGTTGCCGGCGTGACGACGTCGACGTGCGGATGCAGGGCGCGCGGGAGCGCGTACGATATCGCGCGCACGAGATACGTCGCGGACGCCTGGTTGTGGAATACGTGGTACTTGGTGTCCAGCATGCGCTCTGCCTGCGCGACGGGGACGCGGAGCGAGAGCCAGTCGCCGGCGGGTGAGCGCTGCACGGAGGCAGGCTCGATGCCGTGGTCTTCGAGCCAAGCCTCGACGAGCTCAACACTCTCGGGATGCGGCGCGACAAGGGCGTCGACCTCCTCCTTCGACAAATGCGCGCCGTAGCTACCGATCGCGTCTCGGGATAAGCGCAACGATGCGGGGACTCAAACTTTGGATAAGGCAAGACGCACCGTTCATGGGCCGGGTCGCTGATTTGGTACAAGTGGTCCACGAGCTCCTCAAACCTATCCTGCTTCAACCCGATACGCATGTCGAGCATGTGGTCGGGCGGGGCGGCGCTGTGGACTTCCCATCCGCGGGGAGCGCCGGCCCAAGCGTGCTTGACTTCGAAGTCGTCCCAGCGCGGCACGAGCGGCGTCGCGAGCGCGACTCGGAAAAGCGGCAGTGCGAGCAGCGCGCAGAGACGGACCGGCGTCATCGTTATTCGCAGGGAAGGAGGGCGGGGCAAGCAGGGTGCGAGAACCAGCCGGCCAGCCTCCTTAAGTACAGTTTAGGGCATTATTGGAGGCTAGCAGGATTTTGCGTATTTTGAGCAGAATAGGCACCGAGGGGCGAGCGTAGCGAGCAACGATGGACGTTCCTTGACGTTCCATGCGGCAAGAAGGATAGAAGCGATTGTACAATATAAACGGCGTGAGTGACGGTGAATTGTGAGTCTAACAATAAGGCTTCAGCCTGATATTGTCGGGCGCGTAGTCCGAGGGATATGCACTAGTGTAAACTCGTAGGTCGGCTAGTGCACATCGTCGTATCTTGACAGCGGCGGCGTCGGTGTCGGGTGTCGGGCGTCGGGCGCTTTCACGCGTGGCAAGCCAAGAGAAAGCCGGGAGCTTACCAATAACAGCGGGAATTTCCCGATAGGAAAGTGCGTAGCTGCCAGCGCACTGTGAGTTCAACAAGAACAAAGTACACAATAAAGCGAGCTATCAAGAAGCATGGGTTAATTGTTTTAGCCAGGAAGAGGAAAGGTGTGTGCGTCCATTCCATCCAATCTCAATTGACGCCATTTATAAACGATTAATCTTTTATTCTCTCTGGCGTCTGCACGCCGCGCAAGTCCTCTCGTCAGTAGCATTTGATCCGTCCGTGTGAACCGGACACATGCCACATTCTTCAATTGGAAGGTACTCACCTTGTTTTGGAAAGCCCTTCTTTGCTTAAACATACTCTAAAGTACAAAGCTTGCTTCGCTTAGGAGGTCTCTGTCGATTAGTGGTTAAATCGCCACGTTGTGGTTTTCTAAATCTCGTCTTGCCCGTGGCGCCGTGTGTTCGATTCACACCAGAGACAATTGCAAATGGTTTTCCATTTTACTCTAAATTTTTGGGTATTTCTGTCACAAAAGCAGTGTCGCAGCAACGACCCATCTTATGCAGCACCATTTCTCAAATAAACTTGCATGTAGGTACTTTGATATATCTAGTGGCACACTACGTGCAAATTTTCAGGCGAATTGGTCTTGTGTATGTTTTAAAAACGCTGAAATATATCCGGATTTTGGGGGTTTTTTTTCTCAGTTTCAAAACTGCGTCTTAGGATTGATCTGAAAGACTTGTCTCGGACTCAACAAAGAACTCATATTTCTCTCTGAAACTTTACACGGCGCGCTAGAACATGTAATTATTCTCTAATATAATTTTTGGTAGTTCCGATTTTTTTTTTTTGATTTCTTGGCTTTGTCTTCGTTGAAATTCAAGTGAGGATACTTATCATTCTAAATCGATGTCCTTAGAGTAACAACCTGCCGGTTTATGACTCCTCACAGAAATTAATTTCGCTTGAAGCGCATTTTATAGAATCGTAAAAAGATCAAAGAGCTCATACGATTTTTAAAATAACGATACAGCGTATCTCAGACGGTTAATTGCTGAGATATAGAATTGGAAGCACATGATGAGTCGTAGCCGCATTTTTGACAGCAGCATTTACGGAAAGGTAAGACGAAGTGACCAAGGTTGAGTTTATTCCATCCTGTGTTTACATTCTTCCCGGCCTCTTGAAACCACCGATATACGGCTCCAACTCCCTGCCCAGCGCCTGCACAATTTTCAGCAGCCGCACGTCCTCCGCTGAGTACATCTGGGAGCCTGACTTGTTCAGCCACAGCACTGAAGAATCCGAGTCCACCGTCGGCTTCGGCGGAAAGAGCACCTCGTCCGTCGCGCAGACGAGCCCGTTCTCCGGGAGCTCACCCTCGAGAAAGTATGCACGTAGCGTCCTGGCGGTGCACAGAGAAGACATCGCGGTTGAGCAATGCTGCGAGAAGAAAATGAGATAATAAGTTGCAGATTTGAAGGAACAAGCAGACGCACCCCACTCCCGTCCTGGATGACCAGCCGTGTCGACTGTGGCATCATCTCATTTACCGCACGAGCATTCTGAACTGGCGTGATAGGCTGGAAACATTCATTAGTATTGGCGATAACCGCTAACACCAACACGGTACCCACATCCGCAGTATTCCCGATGACAAGGATCTCGTTCTTCAACGTATGATTGAACGGGCCAGTAAACCTCTCTGTCTCACGCGCTGTCCAATGCTGACACAGATCGATGTCCAGCGCACTGAAATGGTGCGACGTCTGCTGCTGCGCCACGGTCATCTCGTGCAGCATGTCTTCAAGCGCCTTCGTGGGGTCGACGTCCGCCGGAAACTCAGGCGTGTCGACGCACTGCACCGCGTAGATAGCCGCGGTCGTGCGCGGCGCCACCGTCGTATTAAGCTCGATGTTTTGGAGGAAATACTGCACAGTGGGCACTCCGTCGCCCGCGAGAGCCGCGGCAAGATTGGTCGCGAGTGTTGGCCAGTTGGGCGGTCTGTAAAGAAAGCTGAAGGTCATGGCTGAGACGCAACGCCTGGTTAGAAACCAGAACTACTGGAGATAAAGAAAATGCAACCTTGGATCATGCTGGCAGTCAGCGGGCCTGGGCGCGTAGCGTTCCAGACAGCTAAAGGTTGCTCGTACAACCTCGCGAGAAGTCCGTCGATCTCGTTTGAGATGGAACTTGCTGTTGAGCCTGGCGACGCAAGAGCGCAGCGATCGGGGCCGGCCTGTCAATACAGATTGACAGTTATTATTCGAAAAACGGGCACTGACTCGACTTCTCACCTCCGCGCACGCAGTGTAGAAGTTCCGTAAATCTTTTTCAGTGTCTACAAAATCATCTAGAGAGCAATAAATCGATATTTTACAATACAGAATAAGCAACGGAGAGCAAACCTTTCGGCCAAGTGTGCACGTGCGTGTTTGCCCATAAGTCAGGGTTCTTTCGCAGCGTCAGACCGGGATCTCGACTCATAGTAGACAAACCTACCACTACGCCGTCTATGACAATCTTCCCAACTCGGTCTGGAAACCTACTCGCGTCAGTCTCACTTATCTTAAAACCCCGCAGGCACTCACATATTAACGAGATAGCTACCCACGATTGTCCCGTACGAGAATCCCCAGAAGTTGATTAAAGCGTCTTCGCTTTCAAGCTCAGCGTACAGGCGTACGAGGTCGCGTACGACTGTAGCCGTGCCGACGTGCTTCAGCGTCTCGCCCGAGCGCTCATGGCACAGGCGGGCGTATACAGCATTGCGCGCGTCCGCAAGCTTGAGGCCGGCGACAAATGCAGCACGATCATACTCATCGGTGAGGTTGCGCGCGTCGGGGAGGACCTCCTCGTGCGTGTTCGCGAATAAGATGTCCTGCTCGGTCTGCGAGGCGAGACATTCAATGCGAGGCCTAAGAACTCGGTGATTAGCTGCATTCTGTGTATCGAATTCGTGGCTAGTCGGAGAACAAACACAGAACTAGTTTGTGCACTCACGTAGAGCCATTGATACCACGCGGGTCCCAGCTGACCTACACCAGGATCAATATCCCCATTTTGAAACGTGTGTTCAAAATAGAACGCACGATATCATACCGCCCCTCCAGCATGTCGCTCAGGTGCTTTCCCGCGCGATAGAGGTAGTTCACTCCCGACCCTCCCGGTCCACCTGGATTCGTGAGGAGCGTGCCGATGCGCTTATTGGTCGCGGGGTACCGTGCGAGAGCGAGCGAAGCCGTGCCAAGAGATGCATTGAAGTAGTCCAGCGGAACCCTTGGAGTAAACATCAGACAAGCTCACAGAAACTTGGCACAAGCAGAAGCTCACTCGAGCCGCCCGCATTCAATGTTGTCACCGCAGGGTGTCCAAACAATATTCCCTTGCTTATACGCCCGTGGACTCGATAACTTTGCGAGTGACCGCACTCGCAATGAAGTCCAGATCAGCATGAGGGCACATGCTGAAAATAGAATGATCCTCCACAATAGAAGGGTCTTGCCTTGATGTCGAGCATTTCTCTGTCGTCCTAGGAGACCCGCATTTTCAGGAGCGATCTTCTCCATTGTGCTCGCGGCCAAGTGCGCTGAGTCGACCGCCAAAGTCAAACGCGTGACTTAGACGCGGTTTGAAAACCACGTGACTAGGCGTACCGCGTGTGATCGCCGCATCTAGATTGTAGTTCAGACTTTCTGCCCCAAATACCAAACGCTCATTCGAAAGAATATCTCATTTTCCAGATAGGCATCACTTTCTCAGGAGCTCCGCTAGCGCCACCACCCAGACCTTCTACAGCTACTTACTTAGTAATTTTTCAGCAATAGAGGCCATATTTTGCGTGACTAGCGCCAAAACAAGATGTAAAATTGCGCTATCTATTGCTCCAATTATTCAAGTCACTGAGAAGATCTACGATGGTCATATAAGTTATGAATGTGTATTGAGAGGAAACTGTGTGAAACATCGTGCATATAGTTCTAATAGCAGATAGCAGACAACCTCGAACGCCGGATTCGCCTCGCCGTCGCCGAATGAATCAAGCGATGTAGGTAAGACGTGTAATTTCAGTTCGGTCGGTTTCGGTAGCAGTGTCTTCGAGCGGCCGACCGAATCTCGATGAAGGTTTAAAATTTTCTGATACATTACATCTCGTTCGTCGTTAAGCCGGGACAGTCTCTATAAACACAGGGCTGCATGTATTTAAATATTATTGCGTAAGAGCCGGAAAATAGCCACACGATAGCAAGAATAAGCTGGGCCTCGTGCTTTTGAAGGGTACAGCGAGTTTGTAATCATGGACCAGAGGGTTCAAACGTTCGCTGGATGACGGCGTCGCCAGTGATCTTCGATGTAGAAACTTGAGTTCCGCACAGTTCGGAGCGACGGAAGTTGCGAGGGTCTCAGGCTCACAGGATCGATTCGTAACTTGGACTCCGCTTTGTAGGTAGTAAAACCAAAGACAACAAAGCGTGAAAAACACGAATTTCATGCCGGGATTACCTCATACCTCACGAGTACTTGACTAGGTAGCATTATTTGTTTGTAGACATGAGTTGCTGTTGCCTTTTGTACGCGAACAGGAGCATGAAAACCATGCATATCAATATGAAAGTCATATCGGTTAGTGACAAAAAATGTCAATGGAGTTTCTTTCGAATCGTCGGAGTGCAAGGACTTCTTGATGGGATTGAACGCCAGGTTGGGGAATGTCTCTCAGCTACCATCCGCATTGGAATGATGGACGATGAGGAAGCGTAAGCGATTACGTGATGCAGAATTCAACGCGCGGATCCAGCGCCATTTTGCCACCCATTTCTTTCTTCAACCGCTTCATCTGGTCGACGCAGCACACTTGCTCCCTCGTCCATTTTATTGGTGTTGTACGGTCATTTGTCTCTTCCCCTGTATCCCTGTGCTTGTCTTCCCAAGATTCGGACATTTCTGCTGTTGAAGACAGTGGCTTCCGCGGTGGCATCATACTGGCACTCCAGCAACATTTCAGCAACATTTTCGAAAACCACTTTGCTGCTGGTTCAGCATGTCTCAGCTTCTACACTCCTTCTTTCATGTCCTCCTGTCCTTTTCCTCTGACTGGTATGGCGAGCTACTGTATGTGGACGGTGTCGCAAAGTGGATGGACAAGGAAGAAGCTCTTTTCGGTGCGGTCCTCGCTTTAATCTGCATCTTTGCTGGTTTACTCGACGGCAAATTCAATCCACCCGACTTCATACCGTTTGCTATCGACTGCATCCTCAGCCATACTTTTGTCGGCGCTCTAGTTGAGCGTAGATGGCCCGGAGACAACTTCTATGCCACTCTGCGAAACCCCGATGTCGGCGTCGTGCCCTCGCTTTTGTGCATTTTCATGACGGCTCCATTTGTTCTACTCAAGCACGTCGCCGCAGACAACCTGCATCTTGCTCGCCGACTCCTTATCTTTGGGGCAGGTTATATTTGTCAGTCGCTCGTCAAAG